GGTCACTCTGCCATCGTCCACCAGGGCTGCCTCTGAGCCTCCGTCTCTTGCTCTCTCCCCAGGAACAAGATTCTGATCTTCGGACTCCTGGAGGAAACCGCTCTGGCTGCCTTCCTGTCGTACTGCCCTGGGATGGGGGTGGCCCTCCGGATGTACCCCCTCAAGTGAGTGGGGCCGCTCCTCCCAAGCACAGGGGGGGGGCTCCTTCCCACCCATCTCCAGCCCCTGTGCCCTGCGTGCCAGGCGCTGCCCTCCGTGCCAGCTCTCTCTCTCTCTCTCTCTCTCTCTCCGTCTCGCAGGGTCACCTGGTGGTTCTGCGCCTTCCCCTACAGCCTCCTCATCTTCATCTATGACGAGGTCCGGAAGCTGCTCCTGCGGCGCTACCCAGGGGGTGAGTGCGCCCCCACGACTCCCCCACCTTCCTCCAGGGGCTGGGCGTCTCTCTCCCCCCCCCTCTGGCTATTGACCGGCTGTTTTCTTTCATTTCCCAGGTTGGGTGGAGAAGGAGACCTATTATTAATCCCAGAGAGCAACGTGCGGGCAGCCCCACCCTCGGATCCAGCCCCTCACAGCCTGTAGCCCAATTAGTAGCTGAAAGATGCAATAAACATAATCCTGCCATTTTCCGCCCCCCCCCAGGCTGCTTCATTCAGAAAGAACTCTTGGGGTCTAGAAATGGGGGTCTGGCCCCCAGAAGGCAGCACCACGGTTGGCAAGGGGAGACCCGAGGAAAGAGGGCAGAGGTGGGGGCAACTGAAAGTTTGGACCAGGGAAGTGACGGAGGCCGTGGAGCTGGCGGCCCCTTGGACCCCCTGATGAGAGTGGTGTCTTCTTCAGCCCCGTCCTGGCCTGGGGGGCCCCCATCCAAACCATCTCTGCCCCCCCCCGGATGGAAGAAGCTTGCCTTGCTTTCTCAGGAAAGGAGAAAAGGCAACTAGCCCATCATTTGGGGAGCGTGTGTGTGTCTGTGTGTGTGTCTGTGTGTGTGTGTTACTGCACCGACCACAGTGGATGGATTGCTGGGTGTCCACCTTGCTGCTTGACCAAAGCAGAAGAAGCCCCTCCGGAGTGACGTTTGGGAGGCCCCGTTTGCTGACCCACACAGAAGGACCTTTCGCCCCAGAGCAGAGGTTATGGACGTATCCTCACACACACACACACACAGCCCTTTCACTCTGCCCCCCAGGTGTCCTGGGGCCCAGGTGCCTCTGGGAAAGAACAGCCAGGCAGTGGATTAAAGGGAAGGTGGTGGGTCAGCAGAAAGGGCCAAAATAGCCCCGGCTGACTTCAGCTCAGCCCCAGCAGCATTTGGCACCGATTAAAACATGGATTAAAATAACGGCAGCTGCTGGACGGCCGGACTGGGCTAAAAATAGCTAAAAATAGCCGCCAGGACATAGCTTGCCTTAAAGACAGCCGAAGGCCCAGGCAGGTCCCTCCCCCCCCCGATCTTTAGAGGGGCAGTGCCCCAACTTGGGGGGTGTATTTCAGGAGAGTCCCAGACTTCCCACCGCCTTGGATGTTGTGATGGGAACTGGGAACACTGGAAAGCATCACCTCCCCATTAAAAGTTCAACATCCATCAAGTGATGATACCCCCCTCCCTCATATTTTGGACCATCTTCCCCTTTAGCCGCAGTAAATACGGTGGTGGGGGGGTTCTTGGGGCAGGACCCCAGGCCTCTGCTCTTCTGCCCCACAGAGAAATTCATGGGTTTTGCAGCTAGCAAAGTCTCCAAGAGAGAGAGAGGGAAATCTTTCCCGGAAGAGTTGGGCCTGCAGGGACTTGGAGGGGGGGGAAGAGGCGTGGCCAAAGGCTGCCCAGTGGAGGCAGTGACATCTGCCTACCCCTCAACAGCTTTGAAGGGGACGGGGGGGGGAAGCAGGTGGACCTCCAGCCCCTGAGTGTGGTGGAGAGGCTGGCCCACATTTGTTCTGCAGCTGAAACGCACCTCTGGTGACGACATGCCCCCTCCCTTCAGGGCACAGGGAGAAGGGCGTGCCAGCTCTGCCCGCATCCGGCTGGCAATGTGGAGTGGAGACTTCAGGTCACCTCAACGTTCCCGTCATCTTCCCAGGAGGGCTCCAAATCACAAGTGACGGCTGTCTGTTTGCACACACAGCCAGGCACAAGCGTGTGGTCTCCCTGGCAGGTGGGAGTGCTCACCTGCGGGGCAGGACACCAAGGGGCCGGGGCAGCAACGGGGGCCGAGGCTCAGCCCCAGGTTGGGCCAAGGCGGAGGTGAGAGCTAGCTGCCCACTCCGCTGTTGCGACAGCGTCATCCTCTGAAGAGGTTCACCCTTGGCCAAAGAAATGCCAGCGCTTGCCCTGCCAGCTGGGGAGTCACCCCATCTGCGAGCCCACTTGCAGAAGAAAATCCCCACCTGCCCCACAACCCCCCTCCCCTCCCAGAGAAGGGCCTCTCCTGGAGCTGCTGACTCAAAGGAACCCAAAATAGTGGGGGGGGGGGAACAGCAGTGGAAGAGGACTGAAGCAGCAGCCGGATGGAGGGGGGGTTGGGTTTTGCTCACTCTCCCCAGGGGGGGGGTGTCAATGTCCACCTGGGATTAAAAATGTCCAAACTCAAGGTCACTTGGAAACAGCCTGTTCCTGGGGGCACTAAGGAGCTGTCGACTGGGGTGTGTGCGGAGGGGGGGAAGCCCCTCCAAAGAAGCCACCTTTCCTCTTGAACTGAGGAGGGGGCTACCCCATGTGGCCTCCTTTCCTTTCCCTTGAGCTTTAGTGCAGTTGGAGAGCCACGGCCGAGCTGCTGAGGCCTTTGCAAGGCTGAGCCGGCCAGGGGTCTCGGATGCCAACCAGGGATGCCACCCTCCAGCCTTAGCCAGCATGCCCGGAAGTATCCTGCATCCAGTTTTGGTCACCACGATGTAAAAAAGATGTTGAGACTCTAGAAAGAGTGCAGAGAAGAGCAACAAAGATGATTAGGGGACTGGAGGCTAAAGCATATAAAGAATGGTTGCTGGAACTGGGTATGTCTAGTTTAACAAAGAGAAGGACGAGGGGGGACATGATAGCAGTCTTCCAGTATCTCAGGGGCTGCCCCAAAGAAGAGGGAGTCAAGCTATTCTCCAAAGCGACTGAAGGCAGGACAAGAAGCAACGGATGGAAACTAACCAAAGAGAGAAGCAACCTAGAACTAAGGAGAAACTTCCTGACAGTGAGAACAATTAACCAGTGGAACAACCTGCCTCCAGAAGCAGTGAATGCTCCAACGCTGGAGGTTTTTAAGAAGAGACTGGACAGCCATTTGTCTGAAATGGTATAGGGTTTCCTGCCTGAGCAAGAGGTTGGATTAGATGACCTCCAAGGTCCCTTCCAACTTTATTATTATTATTATTATTATTATTATTATTATTATTATTATTATTATTATTATTATTATTATTATTATTATTATTATTATTATTATTATTATTATTATTATTATTTTAAAGCCGCCCTCGGCTCAGCACACACAGGCTTGGTGGAGCACCATGGGCCTTTGAGCTGCCCCCAAAACTGGGCCTGTGACACCCTCCAGAAGTTAAACTGAAGCGCAGAACTTGAGATCACCTCCCCACACCCCGATCTGCCCTCTGCCCTGCACCCGGATGGCTGAGGCAGGAGGAGCCCAAGGCCGCAGCCCGGCCCCGCCGATCCGGTTTCTTTGGCATCTGCTGCTCGCTTCTCCGACTTAGAGGCGGCGGCTTGGTCAGGGCCGGGGAGGGCAGAGGGATGCTCTCCGTGCCGGGCACGTCCTGTGGCCTCTTAGTGGAGAGGCCCAGATTTGCCAGAGACAGGCCCCTGTGCACCCCACGGCCAGCCCACGCGAACGGGGCAGCCCCTGCCTGTGTTTTAGGGCCTCGGTTTCTCTGCCTGCCCAGGGGGCAAAGCGGCTGCCCAGCGCCACCCACGCCAGCTCAAGAGGTGGCAGAGCAGGAGCCTCGCTCACAGGCCAACACCCCCTCGGCTCCCCACCAGAGGCCAGGAATCTCTTTGCCCAGAGTGAAGCTCTCTCCATCAGCCGAGCCCTGGCAGGTGGTGAGCAGAAGCTGTTCCTTCCCTGCCCGGAGCTCTCCCGGGGGCAGCCTGCCCATCAGAAGCCGTGCTGGTCCTCTGGAAGGCCTGGCCCACCGCCTGTGGTACCCGGGCACGGTGGTCTTTGCCCGAGCTGCTCTCCAGGCCAGCCTCCCAGCACAGCTGCTGCGTCTGGATCTGCCGGCCGGCCGGAGATGCCTGGGAGGGCTAAGGCGCAGAAGGAGCAGCTCCCTGCGTTCCCCCTCCCCCCGCTCACACGCACTTACCTAACTGCCCCCTGTAACTCAAGAGCCCCCAGGCATCTGGCGTACAGTATCCAGGCCGCCCCCCCCGCCCCTCTCTAATTTCCCTGCCATCCGCACAAGCTGGTCTTGATTTACCTCCGAGTCATCTCCTCTTATTTTTAGCCGCGCCGTCTTGCCCTGCCCCACATGCCTCCTTCTCTGCCCCCCTTCCTTAATATGGTGATAAGAAGATGCCCTCCAATGCAGGCCGGGGTGGGGCGGAAGAGGGGGAGAAAGCCGGAGGGACCCACCGCAGGGGGGAGGGAAGCCTGGCCCCTGGCGGCCCCTGTGCCAAGGGGGTCCGTGGGGGTCTTTTGGGGGGCTGGCACTCCCCATGGGGCGGCCTGCTCCCTGCCTTCTCCCCATTGACATATATAGACAGGAGCGAGAGGGGGCCGGCTGGGGACGGTGCCAAATATCTGTGGATAAGACGGCCCTCCAGCCCCAGAGCCCTCCCCCCCCGAGGGTCTTTTATGCACTGCCTGGAGCTTGGCTCCTCCGCCTTTGGAGCTCTGCACCCCTCCGTGTGGTCGTCGCCCTCCTCCTCGGGCACCTGCCTGCCTGCGTCAGCCAAGAGCCTCCAGTCCCGCCAGCGCCCGGCCCGGCCTGCACCTGACCAGGAGCCGTGAGAGGGAGGGGAGGCAGGAAGGAAGGCAAACCAAGGCAGCCGTCTGTGTCTCTCTCTTTCTCGCCTTGGGGAAGGACCCCCGGAGCCCCTTCACGGCAGGATGAAGTGGCTCGGCCTGATCTTAGCCGCCCTGCTGCTGGCCTTGGCCGGCCCCGGGGCCCGTGGCGAGGAGGGGCTGGATTTCCCCGAGTACGACGGCATCGACCGCGTCATCGACGTCAACATAAAGAACTACAAGGCCGTGCTGAAGAAGTACGAGGTGCTGGCACTGCTCTACCACGAGCCGGTGGGCGACGACAAGGCTTCGCAGAGGCAGTTTGAGATGGAGGACCTGATCCTGGAGGTAGGGGCCAGGGGGGCGAGGAGGGGGTGGGGGGGCACCTCAGACTGGCCTGAGGAGGCAGTCTTCAGAGGCAGAGCACAGGGGCGTCAGGTGGTGAGGGATGGACTTGTCATCACTTGTTGCAGCAGTCTAGCATTCGGGATGTGGGACGGGCACCTGAAAGGCACCGTTTAGCTCCCTCCCTTGAACCCTTTACTGCGGGTTCTCTAGCCGGCTGGGCAGGAGGCAATATTGGCACTTCTCTCTGCCAGGGCAAGGGGCATCAAGTGAGGCGGGGGGGGGTGTCACCAGGCTAAATTTGCCACCTCTAAAATTGGAGCCCCTGGAAGGGGGAGGCGGCTCCTTGGGAATGTTGTGGGGAGGGGGCAGTAAAGCCAGAGCAGCCTGGGGGAGGGAAGGAGGCGCTGTGACTGCAAGCAGGACCACCCTAAAAATGGACCCCAGGGATCCGGCTGCATTCAGGGAAGACGTGGGGAGGGCCAGAAGCGGGAGGGAGCTGAGCAAAGGAGAAGGGGGCAGGCAGTACCCTTGCATTGTGTTCTCAGGGCTGGGAATAACTGTGGCCCGAACTCGGGTTTGCATGCCACTAGTCCTCATGTCTGCAGCAATGGTGTGAAGATGGTCAAACCAAAAACAGAGACCCTGGCCCAGAAATCCGTCCGATGGAGATACTGGCTTTCTCCAGAAGCCACATTTAAGCGGCCTCCCCACTCCGGCTGGGGGTTGCCTGGGAGATCAGCTCTGATGATCTGAACCCTCACTGGACTTTGTCTCCAGAAGCCCGGGGGGGGGGAGGTACATTTATGCATGGCCGGGGGGGGCACCTGCTTCCCCATCAAAGGCCAGATTTCAGGAGTCGGAAAGAATCGACCCCCTCTAACGGGGTGGGATGGGGGGCTAGAGCTCAAGCGATTCTGAGAGAAAACCGGCCTGTGAGCCCCTGAAATAGAAAAGTGGCTCCAGAGACTCTGTGGGCCTGGAGGAAGCAGACCTGCCCCCCATGCTCCGTGCCAGAGGGGGGGCCCCTGGGCCTCCACTTTCCTTGGGCAATTAGTCGGCAGCCCCCCTCGACGCGGCTCAGTCCAGCAATCGGTGGCTGGGTTTGGGTTCCCCCTCCCTCCGAGCAACTGAATTCACCCGATTTTCTCCCTGACCGGATGGCCAACGCAGCTGTTCTCTCTTGCCCCGATTCAAGGTTAAAGCAATCAGAGGGAAAAGAGGCGGGAGCCCCTCTTTCTGAAAGCTTTTGGAAAGTTTGGGAGGAACAAGGCGACCTGCGGCCTTTACTTAGGGTGGCCAGGTCTGCTTCCAAAAAAATAGCGGACAAGTGGGCCGGGGGGGTGTTAAGTAGTAAAAAAAAGCAGACTGTACAGCTTTAGATTACGTACCATTTCATCATAAAGCTTTTGAATAAAAAAAAAATGTCCACTATTTTGTGGGAAAAAAAATAGCGAACATCATGTGAAAAAAGTGGACTGTCTGCTCAAATAGTGGACACCTGGCAACCCTACCTTTGCTGGACAGTTGCCTTTGGCAGTGTATAAAAACACCGAAAAAGCGGAAAGCCAGCCCTTCAGGCTGATGTGGGTGGCTGGGAGCCGGGGGGGGCGGGATATCAAGGCTTAATAAGTCCATAAATCTGTGTTTTCATCCCCTTTCTCTTCCCTCCCTCTTCTCTCTTCCCGCCTCTGGTTCTTCCTCATAGTTAGTGGCCCAAGTCCTGGAAGACAAAGGGATCGGGTTTGGCCTGGTGGACGCAGAGAAAGACGCCGCAGTGGCCAAAAAATTAGGTAACAGAGACCTTCCTTGGCTAATCAGAGGCCCTCTTCTGAAGACGCAGCAGGCCTGTTTTTCCCCCTTGCCCAAGCTGGGAACGAGTTCCGATTAGGGCCCACCTGGGAATCCCTACTGCTGGTGGAAGCAGAGCGAACGTCGGAGGCCACCAGGGGGCAGTGAAAACTGCTGGGCTCTGGCATCATTCAACGCCCTTCTAAGGGACGTTTGGGGTGCCCTAGATGAGTGGGTCTGTGCCCCCCAAAGCTCACCGTCTAAACAACTTGCCCCAGGGCAGACGTCGGCTCTTCTGAGCCCCAGTTGCCCGAAAAGGACCAGATGGAAAGCAAATGAGCCCCCACCCCACCCTTGGTATACCCGGTCCACCCTGGGTGGCACGGGACGCCCGCTTTGTCAGAACCGGGTTGCCAATCTTCATGCTCAAAGGTCCAAAGACAGCCTCTGGGTGACCCCCCCCCCTTTGGCCTTCCCCGCAGGGCTGGCTGAAGAAGACAGCGTGTACGTGTTCAAGGAGGACGAAGTCATCGAATACGATGGGGAATTTTCAGCAGACACCTTGGTGGAGTTTCTCCTTGACGTAAGTAGAGGCTGTCTTCCCAGCCCCCTGAAGCCCCCCTTCTTCCCTCTTTACAGGGGGGGGAAAGACCCCCCAGTGCAAAGGCAGGAGAACCCAAGAGGAGGGTCTTTCCAGCCCACCCTGCTGGGGGTCCCTGGGCACACTCCCACCCTTCAAAGGGCTTCTCTGGACATCATCCCTCCCCACCCCGGCCTGAAAACTCCCCCGGGTTCTGCAGCTGAGCCAGCTCAGATCTCGCTGCCGTCAGTTGTGCTCATCGTGATGTTATCCAGGCCAGTGGGAAGCATGGCTGGGGTCAGGCTGAGGAAGGGGGGTCCATTTTGAGCTGTGTCACCCAAGGAAGGGTTTCTGCAGTATCCTGGGGGGGGGAGAAGAGTGGCTGGGAGTAACTCCTCCTGCTCCCCCCCCAGTTGGTTCTGAACTCCCCCAGACCAATAGGGGTCCAGAGCTGCTGACTTCCGGGCCCTGTCCAGGGTGCTGATGGCCACCCTCTGTAAACCAGCCTTTCTCAACCTCAGCCTCCAAGATGGGTGGGCTTCGGCTCCCAGAATTCCCCTGCCAGCCTGCTCTAAAAAAAAACCCCTTCCCTTACAAAAGCCCAGGACTCTTGGCAGAACCACCCCCACCCCACCCCACCCCCGTGTCAGCCAGGCAGAGTTGGTCAAGCCAAGGCCTGGACCCTCCCCCTTTCCTGCAGGTCCTGGAAGACCCCATAGAGTTTATCGATGGAGAAAACGAGGTGGAAGCCTTCGAGAATATTGAGGACGAGCCCAAACTCATCGGCTACTTCAAGAACGAGGACTCTGAGCGTGAGTGGATGAGTGGGGGAGGGGGTCCCAGGAGAAGTGGGGTTCAGGACCCCCAGGGTTGTAAAATCCAAGATAGAAAGCCGGGGGGGGGTAGGGCCCATGATGAAGACATGTCAGGCCATCGGAAAAACAGGCACTGGAACGGAAAGCTGCGTCCTTTCCGTTCCAGTCCCAAGAGATCCGGGGACGTGAAAGGGGAAAGGGTGCGGAGGGAGGACGGAGCTCTCCGGGGATGGAAGGAGGGGAGGAAGCAGACGCTGCTGCTGCCTCTGCCTCTGCCACCGTGGCCTCTTTCTCTCAGCTGAGCTGAGCTGAGCCGAGCTGACAGTTTCTGCTGCTCTGCCCTGCTGACTTCTGCACGTGAACGGAAGGAGAGGGGCAGGGGACGATGGGGCTCCAGGCCCAGAGGCTTGAACCAGGATAGCAAAGTAAGGAGGGCGCTGCTCTGCTGGGGCCACCAGGGGAGACCCTTTGCCTTCTCTTCCAGATTTCAAGGCCTTTATAGACGCTGCTGAAGAATTCCACCCTTACATCCCTTTTTTTGCAACGTTTGACAGCAAGGTACGAGAGAGACACACACACAGAGAGAGAGAGACTCGGCAGTTTTAAGACCAGTGGACTTCAACTCCCAATATTACCCAGAGTTCTGGGGTCAAAGTCCCTGCCTTATCAGGGAACGCTGGGGCAGGGGGCAGCTGTGGAAAGTCCTCTCCCCCCTCCTCCCCCCCCAGTCCCAGGAAGATCTGCCCCTCCAACCAGCCCTCTTCTGTCTCGGCAGGTGGCGAAGAAGCTCTCTCTGAAGCTGAACGAGATTGACTACTACGAGCCTTTTATGGAGAAGCCGGTCACCATCCCAGACAAACCGAACAGCGAGGAGGAAATAGTCCAGTTCATGGAAGAGCACAAGAGGTGAAGCTTTGCTGCCCCCCTTGCCCTCGGGGGGGGGCTCCCCGGCAGCAGGGGACCTTCCGAGCAACTCGCCGCGCCTGGCGCGAGATGGGGAGACCTTCCTCGGTTGCCATGGCAGCCGTCTTCCCAGCATCAGCATCAGCAGCATCCCTTGCCTTGTTCTTCTCTTCTTCCTCCTCCGGCTGCCATGGAAACGGCACACATTTGGCCCCAATGGCTGGTCGGTTCCTCTCCCTGGGCCTCGCATGGAGGGGGGGGCTGGTGGTGAACATCAGCCCAGAAACGCTCCGGCCCCCCGGGGACGAGAGCAAACTCTCCTGGCCCACTGCCAAGAAAATAGCCTTCACCTGTGGGGGGGGGTCTTTACCTTGCCCGGCCTGGAAAGACCTTCCTGGTCTCTGTTGCTCTCCTGCCCTCACTCTGCTCTTTTTCCTCTCTGTCCGTCTCTTGCAGGCCAACCCTGAGGAAGCTGCACCCAGACAGCATGTATGAAACCTGGGTACGTTCACAGACCTGAAAAGGGGGGAGGGCGCCAGGCAGGAAGAGCCCCTTCCCCATTCCTAAGTAGGCTCCCAGGGAAGAGGAAGCAGGAAGACACCAGCAGACACTCTCCTGGGACCTTCTGGAAGGGCAGCCAAAAATAACAACGGAAGGACTAAAAAAACGGCCCCAAAGGAGATTTTCTGAGCTGCTCACTCGACTGCGGTTGAGTTGGGCACGATGGCTTGCCAGGCTGGCTTTTCTTGCGGCTTTTTTATGAGCGGGTCTCCCATGCAGGCTGCTGCGGGTGGCCGGCTGGCTTAAAAGCTGCGTCCTGTCCTTTCCGTTCCAGTCCCAAGAGATCCGGGGACGTGAAAGGGGAAAGGGTGCGGAGGGAGGACGGAGCTCTCCGGGGATGGAAGGAGGGGAGGAAGCAGACGCTGCTTCTGCCTCTGCCACCGTGGCCTCTTTCTCTCAGCTGAGCTGAGCTGAGCCGAGCTGACAGTTTCTGCTGCTCTGCCCTGCTGACCTCTGCACGTGAACAGAAGGAGAGGGGCAGGGGACGATGGGGCTCCAGGCCCAGAGGCTTGAACCAGGAGTCGGGCGCAGAGCAGAAGAAATTGCCAGGACAAGGAGAGGGGTGGGAGGGAGGGGGCTCCTCCCCAACGCAAGCACTGAAGGCAAAGGAGAAAGTCGGGGAGGGCAGCTTGCCCAAGCCCCCCCCCAATAGCTTCACAGCTAGCAGAAGGTGGAACCCCGAACTCAGAGCCCGCCCTCGCCCTCTCCTCCATACTTGGAACCCAATATCGGCTTCCCATGAATAATAAAGAATGGACACAAAGCCAGCAATTCTGGCGAAAACAGATACTTTGTGTTGGCCAGGTAATAAATTATAAATATATTTCCCCGTTTACCTTTATACATTCAAAGGCACCACCTGGTCCCCTTTGAACCCTCCAACAGACATGGCGGGTCTGTCTGGGAAAAGCCCCCTCTTTCCCCCCCCCATTACCAGTGCTGCCCAGATCTCATGCAAGGGGGCAACCGGCCGGCATCCGTGGGTGCCCGGCCAAAGCCCTGCTCCGACCACAATGGCTCATTAACAAGCCATGGGAACTTTTTTGAGGGGGGGCTCAGCCGAACCCTGGCTTGTTTGCAGAATTTGGGGTGCTCTGCCCATGTCCTGGCTGTTGAATGGGGGGGTCCTGCTGCTTGCTTCTCCTCCTTAAGTCAGTAACAAATAGCCAAGAGAGCAATAAAGTCGCCCAGGGTGAATCCATCTGCCTTTCTCCTCCATCCAGGAAGACGACATGGATGGCATCCACATTGTGGCCTTCGCAGAGGAAGACGATCCTGGTAAGTAGACTGGGGTGGGGGTGTCGTCCTGTGTTGACTCCCCAAGGACAAGAAACAAATCGAGGAGAGAAGCAACCTGGAACTAAGGAAGACTATCCTGCCTGAGCAGGGGGTTGGACTAGAAGACCTCCGAGGTCCCTTCCAGCTCTGTTATTCTGTTATTCTGCATTCCCTTCTCAGCCACCATTTCTCCAGCTGCAGGCAAGGCGGCTGATGGGGGCCAAAGGCGGCCCCCTCAATCCCCTCCCCTGCCCCCCTTCTCTCTCCTCAGACGGTTACGAGTTCCTGGAGATCCTGAAAGAAGTCGCCCAAGACAACACAGACAACCCGGAGCTCAGCATCATCTGGATCGATCCCGAGGAATTCCCACTGGTGAAGAGCCCACTCTGCCCTTTAAAACGGGGGGAGGGGGTTTTTTTAGGGGCGACTCTGGGAACCTCTTGGGCACCTTTTTCCCCTGGCGCCTCGCTCTCCTTCGCTCCTGCCCTGCCAAGTTTGGGCTGCTCCAGGCTGGCATCCCTTCAGATGCCCCTTAGAAAGCCGGCTGTGGAGGCGGGCATTTGTGGGCAGGCAGCTCTTTGGATCAGACCAACCAAAACCCCAAAGGAGAAGTGATTACGGGGGACGTCCCTGTAATCCACGGTCCAAATGCTCCCCCCCCCATTCCAGCCATCCCAACCAAACCCAGGAAGTCCCTCCCTCACTCCCTCCCCCCCAGGCGCTCACTCTTCCCCCACTTTGCTTCCTTCGCAGCTGATCCCATACTGGGAGAAAACCTTCGACATTGACCTGTCCCGGCCTCATATTGGCATCGTCAACGTGACGGACGTGAGTACGGTCAAACACACGTACGGTCAAACCCTTGGGGGGGGGAGTCAGAGGCCGGCTCCATCGGGCACAGCCCGGCGATGGGTGCCCGACAGCTTCCCAAAGTGTTTGGTGCAGAGCAGCTGGCCCAGGTTTTAGGGGGCTGGGGGCTTTCGCAACTGGTTGGTGACTGGGGGCTGCCAGACTGAGCCTTGGGGGTGCAGAGGTGACGGGCAGAGCGAGCAGAAGCCCTCAAGGCCTGGTCGCTGGAGCCAGCCTGCCCCCCCAGCAGCTCTTTCCTCCGATGTCCCCCCCCCAGGCCGACAGTGTCTGGTTGGACATGGATGATGAGGAGGATCTGCCCTCTGCGGAGGAGCTGGAAGACTGGATCGAGGACGTGCTGGAAGGAGAGATAAACACCGAAGACGACGATGACGACGACGATGATGATGACGACGACGACGATGATGACGACGACTAAGGGCTGGCCCCTCCCAATTTTCGTGCAAGGCGGGCCCGTCTGGGGGGCTCCACCCAGGTCCCATCTTGTCCTCCGGCACCACACAGCTGACCCAACCGCAGCACCTTTGGCTTGCACGAAAACGCCCCGGCCCTAGCCAGGAAATATTTTTATATTGATCTTATTTACGTCCAAGGCCCTCACTGCAGTCTGACCACGCTCCCTCCACGCACGGGCCCCCCACCTGCCCTTGATGAGCCGCCCCTCTCCAGATATTCTCCAAAGGCTCCTCCGTCTGCCCTCCCGTTCAATCTGCCGGATGCCAGGGGAGAATGCCACCTTTCCTGGGAGGGTGCCAACACCGGCCAAGTGCCTTCCTGGTCCTAGACAGGAGGCGAGCATCAGCCGAGGCACCGCTAGCCCTAACGGAAGGCTAGAGGAATTTCCCATCATGCACCCCGAGGCTCGGCCCTTGCCATCCGCTCCTTGCTTCCTGCTTCGAGCTTTGGGGGCTCCTCAACGGCCTTATCGGCGGAGGTCACCGCGGCGCCCCCGCCTCCCCCATCCCATCCAGGCCTTGGGGCGGCAACATCTCCACTCCAGTCTCCCGTGGCAACAAGGCGCTCCTCTTTTCAGGTAGATAAGCCCGTATCACTAGAGGGCAGCAGTTTAGTTTACAAAGACATTCGGCCGTGTGCAAAGAAGAAAAACAGAAAAAGTGATTGGCAAGTGAACATCCCCTTCAAAATCACGGTTCCCCAAGCGATTCTTCTCCTTTCACACAGAAGAGACCCAAGGAAGGGGATTTTGCTGTCCCAGTTCTTTGGTGTCGGGAACCGATCTTTCGCTGAACTCTTCGAGTCCCATTTTTTTTTAGGAAGAGAAATTTTGAGTCATTTTGTTGAATTCGTTGAAGAAGCGAAAGATGCGCCAGCAGTAAAAAAAAACCCAGATGAAAATTAACTTCGGAGCTGGAGGGGCGGGGAAGCAAAGAGATTCGGGCTGTTTTCCTGCTCTCCTTAGTGAAGTGGAGGGGGGAGCCAGCTCAGCAGGCAGTGAGGGGCGTAATGTACAATTTGTATATTTTTCAACACCTTTGTACAGATCAAACCAAAGTGATTAAAAAAAATGGAACAATAAAAGGGACTAGTGAGGTATTTCCCCACCCCCTCCTGCCCCTTCTTTGGCAAACAGGTTTTTGGATCAGAAACGCTGGAATATTCTGCAACTGGGGAGGAGGGAGGGAAGCAACTCCGTTGCTCTGGCATGGAAACTGTGCACCCCAAAAGGGCCAACGCTACACACCTCCCGCCCTGCCAGGGAGCCACAAGAGGGAGCAGCTGGAGGGGTGCCAACGGGCGCCGATTCCCCCTCCAGAGAACACGGAAAGGCCACGCAGCTCCCACGGCTGGAGGCTGATGGCCTCTGGGGGCAGCCCAAACAGGCAAGGGCAACCTATTAAAGGCTACCCCCCCCCAAAGCCCAGCACTGTTTGTGCTTCTTGATGGTCTCTATGAATAATATATGCTAATCAAAGAGAACATGCAGCCTTCCGTCCAAGTTGGCATCTCTGCCAATGGAAAAAAAATGCTCCGTCCATCCATCCTCCCCGCAGCACTTAGGAACCCGCCGACTCTGCGGTCGGTCGTTCCAGGACTGGCCTCAGCTGCCCTTGGAGGGACGGTGCCGCGCTTACTCCCATTTCGTGGAAGGGAGAAAGGAGGCCAGGAGAGAGAGGTTGAAGCAGAAGGAAGAGGATTAGCCCATCTGTGGCACCTCTAGCGGCCTCTAGTTAAACCTCCATGGCCAGGGGCAGTTTACCTCCATACAGCGGCCAACAGTGGATAGACAAACCCTTTGCTTTATATTGCTTAGTGGAAGCAGGGTGCAGAACTGGGGGTGCAGGGCTGAAAGGGAATTGATAAAAAGCTCCTTTTCGGTTGACCGGAAAAGTCTGCTCTTCCAACCGATCCAAGGAGAGGAGCCACGCCTGCCCCTCTGGAGGGACCCTCCCTTGCCCCCCCCCAAAGGGGTCACGGAGGGCGGCAGGCAGAGCTCCCCACCGCATTCCTTCGGCCAAGTTCACGTTTGCATCAGTGCCACCAGCTTTTTCCTCCTCCTCCCCCCCCCATAAAAAATGCACGAAGAGCATTGTCGGTCTATTAATATCAACTCTGGTAAAAGCTTTTTGTGCATGTGTGTTGTGGGTGATGGAGAGACAGGGGCAGCAGAGGAGTCCTGTGGGGGAACCAGGCAGAGAAGGTTCTCGGGGGGCTCTGTCTAAACTTGCTCTGAGGTGCTTTAAGGTGGGGGGAACCTTTAGGGTGGGAGGGGGTGTGTAGCCGTGAAGGCAGGTGACAGAACTGGCAGTAGCTTCTCCAGGCTTCGGGGCACCGTCCCCTTGGCGTATCCCCCGTCTCTTCCCAAGGAAGTCACAAACAGAGACGGGAGGACCACCACCTCCATCACTGCTGGGGGGGGGCATTTTAAGGCTCTTCTAGTGCCCATCCTTAACCCCAAAGTCTGCTCTTTCTCTCTCTCTCCGCCTCTCATGGGCTCAGCCACCCAAGCAATATCAACAACCACTAATGAATCTCCACAGTTAAGTAATGAGTAACCATGTTATTGTGAACCCAATTTCTCTCTCCCCCTCCCCCCCCCGTGGCTACCAACCGGAAGTGGCTGAACTCCAGTGTAAAAGGGGGCTTCCTCAAGGCCTCCTCTTAATTGACCCCCCCGCCCTGCTGGAGGGCAGGGGGGGGGGGAGCCCAACACCTCCGGGCTTCTTCTTTCGGTCTCACTCAGAGGATGCTTCCTCTTCCATGCCGAGCAGAAAAGGACAGGAAGTGGCCAGAGAAGCTGCGGGAGGGGAACCGCGGCCCTCCCCTGCCCAGAGTGTCGGGAGAGTTTTCCCCACAGTGGAAAAGGCCCCCAGAGGACACCCTGCTTTCCCCCTGAATGTCCCCCCCCGAGGAGTTTTAGGGACGGCCACCGGCTCTCTGCCCCATATCGCCCAGGCATTTTTTGGGCTGGAATTTGTCACCACTGGTTGGGCTGCCTTGGGCAGCTCTTAGCTGAGAGCCACGGCCACAAGGAGGGTCCAGACTCCCGTGGCCTCCAAAAGGTGGCTGCCACTTCTGCCAGAGGGGGTTTCAGCTCAGGGCCAACCAGGTGGTCCAGGCCTAGAAGCTCCGCCAGGGCCCCTCGGCTGCTGACCCTCCGCTTCTCAAGCCCAGGTAGGATGGGTCCTCCTGGCCTTGCCCATGCCCAGGTCAGCCTGTGGACTCCAGGGGAGCCAGGGGCAGTGGGGAGGACGGGGCTGTCCTCCAGGCGACGCCAGCACAGGCTGAGGGGGGGAAGCCCCGTCCCCAAGGAAGACAAGCCAAGCGGAGCGGCAGGCTGAGAAGCGGAGCACCGCCGAGGCCCTTCCGAACGGTCGGGCTCGCCTTTGGGCACTGCCGCCCAAGAGGTACCCACGTTCCTCAATCCGGACTAGCGGTACCGCGGAGCTAGGAGCACCACGCGTTGTAAGAGGGGCACAGAGAGGGGGAAGTGGCGGAGAAGAGCCGCCGGGTTCCTCCCCGTCGGACAGGCTGGACGTCCCTCGGCCGCCCGCTCTCCTTTCTTTTGCCTTCTCCTCCTCTTCTCCTCCTCCTCCTCCTCCTTCTCGGGCGTCACGTGTGAACGCGCGCCCTCTTTCCCGCTCCCTCGCTCGCTCGCTCGCTCTCTCCGCTTCCTGCTCTCTCAGAGGCGATCTCCGGAGCCAGGCACTCGGCACAAAAAGCTACCCAGTTTCTCCCCCTCTAGCTCAGCCTCTCCCGCTGACATCACTCGGAGGGGAGGAGGAGGAGGAGGAGGAGGAAGGGTGGGGTGAGCGGGAGAAGAGCCTGGGAGAGAGCCGGAGCCGCCCGCCTGGGCAGCCGCGACGCCCAGCTCGAGGGTCGCCCGTCCCGTCCCGACCCGGCAGGCCAAGCCAGGACGCCCTTCGCCCGCTAGGCCGGCGGTGCCCGTGTCCTTCCGCCTTTCCAGCCGTCGCTCTGCCGCGGGTAAGTCCAGCGCCCCCCACCCACCCACCCACCCACCCCACACACACACCCCCAGCCCAGGTGGCAGCCGGCCACTAACAGCTTGCGTTCCTTTCCGGGCTCCGCGGGCACTCTGCACATGGGCAGAGGCGGTGGCGGTGGCGGCGGCGCCTCAAGGCAGAACAGCTGAGCCGGAGACTGGTGCCCAGGCGCCGTCTCCTATCCGGCCCCGGGAGCCGCCGGGCGCGGCCGGAGACCTCTGGCCGACCAGCCTCCTCCTCCTCCTCGTGACCGTGACTCAAGCGCGGAGCCCGCGTGAATCACCGCCGCCGCTTCCTCTTTGGCCCCTCGCCCAGCCCCTGATGCCCAGCCCCGCCGCCGCCCTCCTGGCCCGCGCGGGCTCCTTCGGGCCGGCCTCTCCGGGCGGCGTGCCGGCTCGCCCCCGGGCTTTCGGAGTCAGCCGGTCCGGCCGAGCCAGGCGGAGGCAAGGGGGCGCGGCCACCTGCCCGCTGCCCGGCGCCGTCCCTTGGCTCCGCGCCCCAGGTTAGCCTGGCCGTCGTGCCCCCCCACCCTTTGCCCGCCGCGCCTTCCCAGGACCGGCCCGCCCGCTCGCCCTTCCTCTCCGCCTGGCCCGGGGCTGAGGCTGCGGGAGGCGCCCTGGGTGGGGTGGGGGGCCTGGACTCCGGGATCAGGGACGTCGGCGAAGATCCCGGCCCGGGGAGAAGCGAGAGAAGGCGACGGGCTGTCTGCAAGAGCCGCGGCCGCGTTGCTTTCCCATCGCCCCGCTTGTAGGGGACGCGGTGGGGACCGGGGAGGGTGCGGCGGAGGCCGCCTGGAGAAGCGGGCGGGAAGCAGTCCCCGTTCCCGCCGAGAGGCAGCGGGGCGAGGGGGGGGGATCCGTGGGGAGGAGGGTCCTCGGAAGCGCCCCAGCCCGGCGCTCTTTCCCCAGGACCCCGGGACGGCTCCCAGGGGTCTGTCCACGGGAGGGGTGGGGAGCGCCAAGGCCGGGCGGAGGGGTCCTGAGAAAGCCGGATTGCCTGGCAGAATGTGCTGGCTCTGGTCTTTGCCCCCTGGCGTGCCTGGGCTGGGAGGGGGGCAGGTGCTCCGTGGGCTCCCCCCCCTCCCCGAGGCCTCGTCCTCTCCTGGGAACTGAAGTTGGGTAACTTTGCCCCCCTTTGTTCTTAGCCCCCTTTTACAGTTTGCTTTCCTCGCTTCCACGCATCTTACTGGGTAACTGATGTCCCCTGGCCCTCCCACCTGCTCCGGAGGGGCCTGGGGAGGGGTCTTCTGCTGATCCTGCCCGCTTCTCTCCTGCAGTTCCCCTCGGTTTAACCTTCCGCCTGGTCCCCCTCCAGCCTTCGCAGGGCTGGGATTTCAAGGATCGTCCTGAACTCCGTAAAGAGTGACCGTGGTTTGGTTTCTCCAGCCGGGTCCTTTGGACCATCCTTCTGGGTCTGACCTGCCCTTGCGGGGACCTTTCTGTCTTCTGATGGACTTGGCGGCTGCCCCCCCACCCTTCTCTGGGGTCAGTGGGAGATTTCTGCTCAGCTCCAGCACTTGAGCACCTCCTGGCTGGTCCAGTCTCCACAGCATCTTCTGAGAGAAGCAGAGACAGTGGCCAGAGGTCACCTGACAGGCTTCCTGCCCCCTCGGCAAGGATTCGAACCCTAGTCTTCCTCAGCCGCCATCTGCCCATTGCGCCTCAGGAGCTCCTTCCGGGCGACCTACTTCCTCAGTGCCCAGCCAAATCTCTGGAAGGGCAGATTTGGGGAGCTGCAGAATGGCAGATGGAGCGGCAAAGGTCAGCAGAGAACGGTTCGGCCCACGTTCTGCAAGGGATGATGCAAGGGATGACGGAGCAGGCCTGGGGAGGGGTGGGGGCAGTTTCCTTCCCCGATGCTTCAGACACTTTCCGCTGTCCAGCCGAAACTATCCTTAGAGGCCAGCGGGCAAACATGGCCGCAGCCTGCAACTCTCTTCCCATCGGTGGTCTCTCTGTGCCGATGATGATGCCCGTGCAGCGTTTCTCCCACAGAGGAGGGAGTTTTATGCCTCCCCACGAAAGGCTTGCGTGACTTGGTTCAATGGGTGAAGCTCCTGGTTAGGTAGGAAGGGGCTTTTGTCTTGAGGGGCTTTCCGGGT